CTTTTTAATTTTTGCCAAGACCGGTTTTCCTCCCCCTTGACACCTCAAATGGGGGTGGCCTCAACCTCCCAAAACCCCCCAGCAGCCCAGCTGGCCTGCGGAATTCTGGGAGTTGAAGTCCACCCATTGCCAAGGTTGAGCAACACTGGTCTGAACCATTTAAAATCAATTTTTTCTTCTCCTTTAATGACAGTGTAAAAAACTGGAATCCCTATCTTTGCAGGCTCCCCCTGGGTGAGAATACTTCGAGCAGCGGAGCTCACCTGCTGCTCAGTTTCTACAGCACAAAGATCCTGCCTCCGCAGCTCCCCTCCCACCTTTTTAAAATGAAAGGATAGAGGGATGTAAAGGCAACTCGGAAGCTGTCCGTACGTTCACTTCTTCCCTTTGTGACTCTATGAACCAATCAGGAAGTTCCCGCCCCCCAGGCAATAGGTAGATTCACGATGAAGAAAAATTGCTACGGAGCGCATGCGCAGAGGGGCGCGCGCCGATCACTGCGAAGGACGAGAAGTTACCCGCTCGGCGCACGTCACTCCGGCGATCCCGCCTCCTACGACGAGGAAGCGGCTCCCAGGGGCGCCGGGCGCCGGACGCGAGTCGGCAGCCATGGCCGCCTCCGTGGCTTCTGCTAGCTCCAGCTGGGCAACACCCGACTCCCTTCGTGGCCGTGAAGAGGAATTCTGGCTACGGGTTGCCGTGAGGCTCATATAGTTCCGCTTGGCGTTTCCTATTTGTGCCAGGGGGCGCGGCCTAGGTGAGAGAGGCGATTCTCCACTGCCCCCTAGCGTTCGAAACGTATCGTACATTGAAGGAACCAGACTTGGACGCAAGTAAGGTCGGACTGGGTGAGATCTTGGATAGGAGACCACTCGGAAATCTCACAGCTGTGGACTAGGTTGGGAAGTAGCCCTGGAAGATTGTAGTGTCAAATCACCTCCCTAATTTTACCAGGAAAGCTGCACAGATATGTCTGTGATGTCACCAAGACTTGAGTTTGATGGCAGGAAGCCTTTATTTCTTTAATACTTTAGCCTTTCATTAAATATGAACAAGTAATTCTGACCACACTGTAAAAACCTAAATGCACTGTTTCCTACTTTAAATGCCTCAAGGTGTTTTACAATTCCTATCTATCCCACTGGAGTTTAGAGCTTCCTCTAATTTTATCCTCACAACAGCCCTTTGAGTTAGGCTAGGCTAAAAAGTAGTGGCATTGTTGGCATAAGATGGTAAGCCATGGTTTGCTAACCGCAGTTGGCCAGATTCACACAACGCATTACCTATAGTTTACAGACCCAACTGGCTGGCTTCATGCAAAATGCAAATAAGCAAACCAAATGCCATCTTTGCACAACACAGACCAAGCAGGCTTTGTTGATGGAATGGGGAATATTTAATTCATGGACCCTCTAATCTTATCACATCTAGGCTGCTAAACACGAGGCACCCACCAGATGGTAGGAGAGAATTAACATTTTCTCTTTCTTTTTCCTGCCATCCAGTGGTCATCTGACATTTTGCAGCCCAGGAATGTCAAGTCTGCTCGTGGTGAGAGGCTCAATTAAATTCTTACCTTCAAGGTGATTTTCTGCTAACGTTAAATGGAATCTCCGTTTTCAAAAGCCGTGCATTTCTGAATTTCTCTTCCTCCGGAGAATGTCTGGGGGCATCAAAATCTGCAGGATGGTGGGCTCCAGTGTCAACAAACTATCGATGTTGGTGCCCAAAATGTCCACCTTGTGGGTTTTTTAGAGATGTTTTTTGCAAGATGCTAGGCCTCTTCTAAGATACTCTGTTGTTATCATCCTGATGTTACAGATCCGGAGTTTGATAGAGAGGCTCTGATGACAGCGATGCAACGTTAACCACTTCTCCTGATAAACTGATTTTGCCCCCCCCCCAATCATCTTGGATTTTATAGTCTTTTTATATAGTATGAAATTTTTTTAGCTAATTTAATGTGGATATTTATATTTTTTACTGTTTTTGATGTTTCATTTTAATTGTGAGCTGCCCAGAGTCACCCTCTGGGGGAGATGGGCAGCGTATAAATTTAATAAATAAATAAATAAATGCAGATTTAAGGTGTATATGAAGTCACAGCTCCATCCTGCTCTGTGTTCCCCATGTTGTAGGGAGAGGTAAGATTGATTAGTCTGAACTAGCACATCTCATGTTTTCTGGCAAATGGGGAGCAACTCTAAAATATAGAGATATCCCCATGTTATTTACTGTTGAGAGTAAAATTTCCTGCAGTTGCCATGATGTCTGTCTGTCTGTCTCTCTCTCTCTCTCTGGTGTAAAAAGCTTAGAACACTGTCTGGATCGTGAAAAGGAGACAGTTAGATTGGAGCAAACTGCAGAAATGGGTCATGAAAATGTTCAAAGGGCTAGAATGAAATTACGCCTGGAGAGAGAAAATTGAGATAATTTTCATCCCTCGCGATAACAGTGTTGTCCTCCTGTCGCTTTTGACTCTTTGTGACGTGATGGGCAACATTCTACCAGGATTGTCTATCAATCAACTGCTGCTTTAAGTTTTTGCAAGCTCCTGACTTGCAAAAGTGATAGCATCTAACCCCTTCGTCTTCTGTTGGTCTTTCTTAATTGCCTTTGCTTTTCCCAACCATCAGGGTCTTCTCCAATGACTTTTACCTTCGCATTATGGGTCCAGAACATCTGAGCTTCATGATTCTTGCTCGCTCTAGTTTTTCTTCATCTAGTTCCTGAATGATTTGTTCAATGAGCAAGTGCTCCGTGTGTGTGTACGCACGTGCCTGGGAAGAAAGGTAGAAGGAAGTGACAACAATTAGCGGCCCCTTAGACAAAGCGCAGGGTCACAGCATAAATCCTTAACTCTGCCCACACTCTGGTCCCCCCTTGAGTTCACTAGATCACAAGGCACTAAAGAATCAGAACCACTGGGTCCACACCTCCAGCATAAACAAGGAATCAAACTGACTTTCATTACAGAAATGGAAATGGATTGTAACCAGGCTCCCTTATTATTATATGGCTCATTGTCTTTATGCTCTGCTTTAATGTATGTTGCTGCTATTGATGTTTTATTTTGATTGTAACCTACTGTAAATCAGCCTGGATTTGGTGGCCTCTAAATTCAAGATACAATTACATACATATTACAACGTGGCTCTTGACTGCCAATCTTCCCTAGCACTAAATATATATTGCTAAACCTGTTACAGTTGGAAGTTTTTCTAGGGCTAGGACTCTGAGCTTCCCCCAGACCCATCCTTCTTACCCACACCTCCCAAATCCCTCTGTCCTCAATTACCCCCTCCCTCCAGAGTGTAAACTGGGAGGAGGTGCCCTGTGTTGCCATGTTTTGATTGGCAGTTCTAGTCCCCAATCCCTGCACTGCTCACACGCCTGTTTTTATTTGTTTTCTATTACTTACAGCTAGCATTGTTTTCCAGGCCTGAACATAAGTCCTCAGTCCAAGAAATTATTAAACACTTTGGTGTAGTGGTCTCTGTTTGTGGTCTCTTCTGCCAGTGCAAGCTATATGACCAAAATAATATGCAGAATTCTACAGGCATTCAAAGTCTGAGATGAAATACATTGGAGAGGCTTGTTGTCATCAGTGTTGCAGAAGGAAAGGAAACGTGGAATTGATGCATTTCGTGCTGCATAGTGATTTTTATGCTAATCAGTTACACAGAATTCAGACGGGCCAAATTCTGGCCCACTTGGACATGACGCCCTGCAAGAAGCATTACTGAAGGCAGAGAGCTAAGGTGTTTTTTAAATGAAGGCCGAATCTTGAAATACAGATGTAATTGCAGAGACATGATAAAGTGGTGTTAGTTGGAGAAACATTGGAGCCATTGGTCAAATGTTTTAGTAAGAGATCTCTGTAGAGCAAATATTAACTATCAGGCCACATATAAGCTATTCTCATGTAAATATTTCAGCACAATTTTTTTAGAAAAATGGTAAAACTATGAGCAGTTAAAAGCATGAGCATTAAAGCAAATGAATATTAGTTCAGAGGTAGGACAGCCTGGTGTCCTCCAGATGTTTAGACCACAGCTTCCAATCTCCTGTCAGATAGGTAGGTGGTGATGACGGGTGGGTGGGT